GATGTTCCTTGAGTCTTTGACTTAGGGAATCCAGTTATTTGGGCACTCATCCCTCAGCATGGCAGCGTTGGTATACCGTTCCCCTAGCGTCCTCTAGAGGACGCAGCGTGGAGTTCCCTTTCGAAAGGGAACAAAAAGGATTCTTTATTTATTTTTTCTTTATTGTCTTTATTTTTTAAAAACAAAAAAAATCTTTATTTCAATAAATTGCAAATTATGTTTTAAGCTAACTGCTTTTAATTGTGCTGTTTCTTTCACAGGGAATCATAGAGAAGTATTCATTAGCTCAAAACAGAAATGAAAGGAGGAAAGAAATAGAGCATCTATTTCACAGACTTTATCTTGATAAAAGGCACCCCTCTAAAGTAAGAGCAGCAGATGTTCTTCAACTAACGACACATTCATTACAGTCCCATGAGTCTTGTGCTGAGAAGGACCTGATACAGACTTTCCTACAAAAACTACTGATGATGAACTACAGGGCAAGATACATTAAACCTACAGACACACAGCATGATGGACAACAAAGAAGCAATGACTTATTTGAAGATGAGGGGGATGCTGATATTTTCAGAGAAATATCTTTGATTCCTGAAGAAACAAACAGGAGTGATGCTATTCACCCAATGGACGTTCAGATGGCCGTGTTTCACTGTGCTGATAGTTTCCTGAAGCAGCTGCTGGTGACTAAACTGTCTCAATGTCAGTATGCTCTGCCTCTGCTTGTTCCTGATCCATTTACACAAGAGATTGAGTTTCCTCTTTGGACATTCAGACAAATCAACAAGAGCTGGAAGATGAAAGACATCAAAAATGAAATAATCGGTCAAATCCAGCCAGTCTGGAAGGCAGTTTATTTTACAGAATAGGAACTGTGTATAATGTGAGATATCTACATTATTGGTGAAGGAGGCTCCTGACTTGGTGTAATGGCAAGTTTTTTGAGTTGTTAGGCTCTTGTTTGAGCCTCCTTTGAGCCTCCTCATCCTCTCAGCCCAGGTACGTGAATATTTAGGTTGAGCATGGTTTCTGCTCCTCTCGCCGAGAGAGTTATACTGAGCACTCTGCTCCCCAGTATTTTTATTTGCAGTTATTTCAGGGTTTTTGAGGCTCTCTGTGAGCCTCCCTGATCAGCTGTTCATGAGCCTGGTAGCTCCCCCTCCCTTTGAGGGTCGCTATGCTGAGATCACAGTTCCTAGTGTTCTCTCAACAGAGCTCTGTGGCTGTTAGGTTGTTAGGCTCTTGTGGGTCTCCTTGATAAGTCGCTCTTCAGGTCGAGCTTTTGAGTACTCCCCTCACCTGAGGGTCTTTGTACTGAGTACGCTGATCCATAAGGGTGGATGATTGCACTCCCCTCGCTTTAGAGGGTTGTTATGCTGAGTGCTTGCTCCCTAGAGCTCTGTTTCGCACTTAGGAGCATGGTTAGTACTCCTAGCTCAGTACTCTAGCTTTTTGAGTCGTTATGCAGTGTACTCCGCTCCCTAGAGCTCCGCTTAGACAGTACTATTAGTATGTAGGCTCTATCGTGAGCCTCACTAACTGTTTATAGCATTGAGTGTAGTCAGGTCTCCTCTCGTTTTAGAGAGTCGTTATGCTGAGACCTCCACTTTTTAGAGCTTCTCAATTAGGGCTGAGTGTTGTTAGGCTTCCTCTCATTTAAGAGAGTCATTCTGCTGAAGCCTCCACTCTTAAGAATTCCCCTACCAGGATTGAGTGTTGTTATGCTATTCCTGCCTGCATCTCCTTCAGACAAAGAAGTGGATGACGTTTTCCGCAGGTGCTCTTTTATACCTGCACTCGCGTTATTGTTTACGTCATAGGCTGCCGCCTGCCAGTGTCGTTCATTGTCGTTTTTTCATTCATGCTTGAGACACCGGTCACGCTGGAGGCGTTCACTAACTGCCTCTGGCGCTGAGTGTAGCTAGGTCTCCTCTCGGTTTAGAGAGTAGTTATGCTGAGACCTCCACTCTTAAGAGCTCCTAAACTATGATTGAGTGTTGTTAGGTTGCCTCTCATTTAAGAGAGTCATTCTGCTGAAGCCTCGGCTCTCCAGAGCTCCGCTTAGGCAGTACTTTTGGTGTGTAGGCCCTTTTTTGTGAGCCTCACTAACTGTCTCTAGCGCTGAGTGTAGTCAGGCCTCCTCTCGTTCTAGAGAGTTGTCATGCTGAGTCCTCCACTCTTCAGAACTCCGTCTTTGGCAGTAATATGAGTTTGTAGG